TTTAGTTTACTCACCACCACCATCTCAAGTACCTAGTACAGAATTGGTACACTGTACTCAAAACTCAATTATTTGTTCAACAAATGGATGAATGGATGGATGGCATGCCCACTCTGAACAAAGGTTTGCTAACTCATCTTTGAAAACCTACAGGATGTCTTCCTGGGAATGGGGCTCGCTTGATGCTGAGTCCACACTGAGACTGGGATCTTTCCACACATCCTTGGAATGGGTTCTATCACTCCTCTGGAAAGGGGAGCTACATCGAAGGCAAAGCCAAGTATTCAAGATGGTGAACTAGATCAGGAGATGACTCAAGCCTAACAACTCAAGAGAGCTGAAGAATGAACTCCAGACTGGAATGGATTTCAGACTACATCTTGAGCCTTCTTCTTTTTTTTTTTTAAAGTAGGCTTCGCACCCAGCATGGAACCCAGTGCGAGGCTTGAACTCATGACCCACAGATCAAGACGGGACCTGAGATCAAGAGTCAGATATTTAACCAAGTGAGCCACCCAAGTGCCCTGCTGAGCCTTCTTCCTTTAGGGTGAACTGGAGATGGCCTTCCAAGGATTCTCTCCATATGAGAATCCAATGATGCCTGTGCTTCCTGGATCCCTGCCTTTTCCCCACTCTCAAGGCCCAGTCCAGTGTCAGGCCCAGAGGATGGTAGATGAGCATGTATCCATTAAACAGCGTAGCGGGCATACCGGCTTCCCGAAACCAAGGATCTCCTCCTCTATGTACTGCCAGGCCTTGGCTGTGGGGGTTATGGTACAGGTGTTCTCCACAATCGAATAGCACAGCACCAGCATGGCCTCTATGTGAGGCATCTGCAGGAGGCTGCAAGAAGACAGCACCGGCTGGTGGGGATGGGCCAGGGGGCTGGCGCAGAAAGCCACATCCACTCTTCCCCCCTCCCCTTGGTGTCTGGTCTTAGTCACACGCATTGAGCATGCTGGCGGGGCTTTAGAGGTCTCCAGACCAACTGCCTCCTTTTGAAAATGAGGAACTGAGGTCCTGAAAGGGGAAGTAATCTTCCTCAAAGTTGCAGTGTTAATCAGAGGCAGAGACAAGATCAGACCCAGAGCCTGGTAGCTCCGGGTACAAGAGCTACATCGTGGAGGGAATGGGCATTTAGGGTAGCGCTTAAGCCAATGACTGGCGACCGAACAGGTAGGGCAGACAGTTGCTAGGTGCGCCAGCAGCGGAAGCTGGCCTTAGTGGGCCTTGAAAGCTGAAGCCAAGGAATGGGAGCTTCTCCTTCCCGTAAAAGGCAGCAAGGAGGGTAGGGCTGGTGGGGGGAGTCAGAACCATCCGCACCTGTCGTGGGTTGGCTTTCTCCAGATGGGTTCTTCATCATACAGGTCATTCATTTCATCCATTTCCTGGGCTGACCGAATGAGCTCCTGGATGTTCTCCATGATCATAGGCGTGGACTCCACCTCCCGCACCCGGGGAGTGAAGGAGAAAGGGTTGGAAGACACAAATGCAGACTGGAACTTGAGCCCTGGGTCTGCCTGCAGCCCAGTCACGGACTCCAGCCCCTCCTCTGCGCCCTGGCCTTCCTCCTGCTTTCCCTCCTCGTCCAGCTGTTCCTCTTGCGCTTCTTGCTCTTGCCCTTCCTCCTGTTTGTGTTCTTGCCCTTCCTCCTGCTTGTGTCCTTGCCCTTGCTCGTGCTTGCGCTCGGAGCCCTGCTCCTGGCCCCCCAGGGACAGGGAGGACTGCATCAGCTCCTCCACGTTGTTGTTGAGCCTCTCCGGCCAGGGCTGGAAGGCCTGTCGTTCCGTGGCTGCAGCGGGGGTTGGAGGGACCAAGAAAGAGAACGGAAAGGAACAGTCAGGCTTCTGGCCCCTGAGTGTCTTGGTTACAGAGGGACGCACACAAACACAAAGGCACAGGAAAGCGGCCCAAATCAACACCTATTCCCACCGTACAGAATGCAAAACATGGGGAACACAAACATCAAAATAAAGGAATGATTAGCACGGCGATTGCGGGGTCTCCTTCCCAACTCCCTCACAAGTGCTCCTCTTCCCTAACTCCCGCCTCAAATCCCACCTCTGTCCCTCTCACTGAGGAAACACCAAAGATTCTGAACAGCGAGCAGCTAATCCTTTCGAGAGTGAAGATGTTAGTATATGAAAGCCCCGTTTGACAATAAACTATTTGTAAAAAAAAAAAAAAAGGGCACTTGTGATGAGCACTGGGTGTTATATGTAAGTGATGAATTACTAAACTCTATTCCTGAAACCAAGTGTTAACTAACTAGAATTTAAATAAAAACTTGAAAAAGGGAAAAGAAAGAAAGAAAGAAAGCCCCAGAGGACTCCCATATGCAGGAATGTTTGGGATGAATTAGGAAACGTGAGTTTTTCCTAGAATTGTAAGTAATGTCAGAAGATGCTCTGGGGCAGGAAAGCCCCAAGATGCATTCATAAAGCGCAGGCTTCCCCCCTTATGTAAATAGCTGCCTGCGGGGGGGCCCCCCCCCCACCCTGCCCCACATCCTTCCCCATTCCCTACCACGGATGCCTTAACGCCGGGACTCTGGGATTTGTGGAAGGGCTTGCTGGTAGCCTCCCAGGGGCTGGGAGGGTCTCACCTGTGACGTGAGATGAGAGGGGGGAGGTCATCGTGGTGGGTGGGACTTCAGAGGAAGTGTCAATCTCCTTGAGAGTGTTGGGTGAGAGGATTGAGACTGGCTGGGAGCACCGGACTCTCTGCAAGAAGAGAAGGACAGTGGGCATGCCTTTCCCAGAGGGCAGACTTCTACTCCCACGTGCGCCTCAGTCCTCTTCCGGCATGTGTCCTCGCTCACGGTTGCTGGGCAAGGATGAAGGGGTATGGTCCCCGGTGGAACCCTCTAGACCTGAGAATGGGTTCCCCTGTGAGAGAAGACTCTGTGTCTGGGCCACACCTCTGCCTTCACTCTGGCGTTTGACTTGTATGAAATCACTCAAGCGTTGGGAGAAAAGGGCGGCCTTGTCTCTCGGCCTCTTGCCTACTTTTGGTAAGATTATTCCCCAAATCCGAAAGCCCAAGACGAGACCCTATTCGCAGGTAATCTGAGTACATGATTGACAAAGAGGCAGGGAGAGAGGATCTAAGGGTGGCCCCCTTGGAGCCAGCCTTCCTCAGCTCCGCACCCCCTCCACCTCTACGACCGTCTTAGGACACCAGACCCAGCTTCCGTCTGGGGCCTCACCTTGGCGTAGTAGACGTGGTTGGAGCAACGGTACTGAGTGAATTGGCAGAAGGACTCAAACCAGGAGGCATAAGGGAGGTCGGAGCAGACAGCGCCTGAGAATGGGCGGGGGGTGCAGAAGGTGAACACACCAGGGGGGCTCCCCCGGGGCGGGCGGAGGGCTCCTGGGGTCTGCGGAGCGGCGAATCCGGCCTGGGGGTGAGGTGCAGCCCACGCCGGGGAGGTGGCCCACGCCTCCGTCCCTCACCGTCCCTCACCGTCCCTCACCGTCCCTCACCGTCGGGCACCAAGCCGTGATTTTCGTACTGGTCCAGCTGGACGAGGGTGGGGTTGCGGCAGCCGTGCGTTGCCCGGAGCCGGCACGTAGTCTCTGCCTTCCAGGTGGGGGTCAGCAGTGCAAAGAAGCGTTCGTATTCGGTGGCAGAGAGGGGGCTGCCTGGAGTGGAGGCGGAAACGGATTCCTGGGTTGGGGCACAAGTCGGAAGCAGGAGCAGCGCTGCGGGGCACGGAAACAGACACTTGGATGGACCGAACCCCAAAACCCGCGCAGGCCCCTGGACGGACCGAACGGCAAGAGGGGCCCCGTGGGAATCAGAAACTGGGGGACGTCTGGCCGGCGGTCTCAGCCCGGCGATCAGGGTGAGGAGACTTCGGGGGCAGAGGCTAAGGTCTGACCCCAGAACCTAGGGAGCAAAGACAACGCGACCACCCAGAGAAAGCGGTTCAAAACCCTGTAGCGAGAGCTCCCGTGCGCAGAGCCTCTCACCCTTCAGGAGTGAGAGAAGGAAGCGAGCGGGTAGCTTCCTCATGGCCCCAGTCGATCCGCCCGCGTTTCCCAGACCAAAGCGGCCTCTAACGGGCCAAGCCGGAGACAGCCGGCGGGCGCTGGCTCCCCGACCCGGAGGGAGGTGCCGCCCACACGTCACAAAGGGCTGGGGGCGGGGCCTCGGAAACCGACGCGCGCCCCGGGGTTCACCGCGCCCGGGCGGCCGGGGTGGATGGGTCCTCACGTGTGTCCTATTCCACCTCGGGAGGATGAGGCTGGCAAAAGCTGTCATAGACTCAGTGCCTTCGATGGAGGAGGGCGTGTGTTGTTCTTTATATGTGCTCCCTTAGTTCATTCCCAAGGTCATCCCATAGAGTGGATACTGTTATCCCTGTATTGCAGGTGGCGAAACCGGGGTTTGGAGCGGCCTAGATGTGAATGAGGCGGCGTTCTGGGGCAGCCAGGGACGGACTGTACAAGACAGAGTCAGGGCCTACCTGCGTGGGAACTAAAGAGGGAGCCTTAAGGTAAGAAATGAGCCCCAAGGGGAAGCAGGCAGGTTCAGGTAAGGAGGTAGGTGCTCGGGCGCCAGGATGGTTCAGTCTAAGGAAGCAGTTTCCCAGTGGCAAGTGAGCGAGATGATCCAACGGCATACGGGAAAAGTGTTTTCCTGTTTCGTGTTTAAAGCAAGAAACCAAGCTAATAGTATAGTAGTGCATGCATAAAACACCAATACACGTTTATTGGAAATCAAATGAAAGATGTTTTACGGAGAAAAGATGCAGAATTTGTAAAAGTTTTGGAAAACCCTGCTCTGAGGCACAGCCCCCAGCCAGCTTTGTCCTTCCCAAGTTGAGAAGTTGTGGATTCTGGGGCTGAGGTACCACTTCGGGTTCCAGGGCTTGTTCTACTTTTGGCATGTCATCCTCCCACCTCTAATCCAACCCAGAGGATGCAAAAAAAAAAAAAAAAAAAAGCTTAATTAGCACAGGTACTAAAATAGTGTCTACAATAAACACAGCAGGCCAACACGGATAGCTTTTATTCACCTACTCAAATTCCTTTACATGTGAGTGACCTGCATCCCACCTTGGCCCCTCTCCCATTCACGAGGCCGGGACGAGCCCTGTTGGCACAGAGCAAGGGGTGCCCCTTCAACTAAGGCCACTGCCCGGATGCTCTGGGGGAGGCCCTACCATGGAAAAAGCAGGAAGGGAACAAAGAGAGCTCATCACACCATGGCCCCCTACAGGGGCAGGGGATCAGGGGGGCCGGGGGTGCCCCCATGCTACTGCCCCAAGTCCTTCAATACAAAGCAAGGGGAGTAAAGAGGACCATCCCTTGGAAATACAGCACCAACCTCGGCATGGAGGCAAAGGGCAGTGGGCAGGACCGCGTCCCTCTGAGGGGGGCGGGCTGAGTGAGAGCACAGACGGTCCACGGCTGCGGCACCCCTCCCGGCCAGGGTTAGGATGCAGCCTCAGCACCAGGAGTGGGGAGAGGGGAGGAGGAGGGATGACACCACCACGCCGTGCGCTCTCCCTGGGCCCCCGGGGCCCCCAGCACAAGCTTTCCTCTCCCCACTAGCCCGGGGCCGGGGACGTGGAAGAAACTGTGTGGGAATCCAAAGCCCTTATCTATTTCTTCTTCCGTTCCTGGGAGCAGCGTGGGCAGAACCTGAAAGGAACGTGACAGAGAGGCGGACAGAGACAGTGAGTGGAAAGGGGAGCGCCCTCCGCACGCAGCTCCTCGGCAGGCAGCCCAGCGCCCAGCGCCCAGCGCGACTCTCTCACTCACCATTTCCCCCGAGGCTTGGTTGTCAGCCCCACACAGGCAAAGTGGAACCACTCGATGGAACACTGAAAAGGAGGAAGGTGGAAGCAGCAGCAGTCAGGGGCCAGGGTAGCGCAGAGCAAAGAAAAGAAGCTTCCTCCACAGATTAACGAGAACAGTGTTCCCGCATTCCGCCCCTCTGGAGAAATCTTGGTGGTCTGAGGCCAACGAACTCCACCTTCCTCTTACCCCGGAGTCCCACCATTCAACCATTTCTGCCCCTCTTGAACCCACTCCCTCATGGCCCCCGGAACCCCATCTGGAGGCAAAACGGTTGGTTCTCACATCAGGGTTGTCACAGCCAATCATCTCTCCGTAGGAGACCTGGTGACAAAGGCAATAGGTGGGTTCGTTGGGATCCACAGGCATATCCAACACATCAGAGGGGTGGACACTGCCAAAGGTCACTGAGGGCATCCCATACTCAGGACTTCTGCGTGCCAAGAGGAAGAGAACGTGTCATCTGCGGGAAGGGAAGCCACACAGGTGGTAGAAAGACATCGTGATGGGGCAAGGCATTCGTGGCTTCCCTCCTCTCTCGAGCAGATCCCACAACGATAAGGAAAAGCTACTGGCACAGAAGATGGAGAAAGTGGCACGGGGCAGCGTGGGGCATGAGCGCGGCGGAGAGAAAACTATGCCACTTGGCAAAGTGCTCCCTTAAACACTCACGTGCGCACAAGTTTTAACTTCTTCTGGGCAGCCTTGGGAGCTTCCTCATCTGAGTTCTTCCCTTTGGAACGAGCACGGGCAGCTTTCTTCTCCTTCTGAGTCCGGCCTTCTAGGAAAGAGGGGGGGACGCCAGAAGGCAGGGAGATAGAAAGATGGGTTAACTCTTCCTTCCTCCACCTGCTTCCAAGCTGCTGCCCCTCCCTGGTAGCTGGAGAGGGGCCTCTTCTCCCTCTGAATCTTCGCCCACCTCGCAAGCCCCGCCCCCCTCCTCACTCTTTTTGCCTTTGCTAGAAGAGCTGTCATAGTCACTTGACTCAATCTGCTTCTCCTTCAAATCAGCCTCAAAACGGGCCAGGTCTGTGTCCAGTCGCCGAATGTGTTTGTCCACCTGGGCGGAAGGAAGGAAAAGAGAGGGGTACGAGGGTGGCTCCAGTAAAAGACAGTAAAGTTAAGGCGGATTCTCTGTATCTCCCAGACCCAAAGCAGATCCCAATATGGCCGGAGGAGGGGTCCAGGACCCCAAGGATTAGACGGGAGGTAAGTGGGGAGCTGTGAACAGGGCCATACCATCTCATAGGTCTGCATGGCAAGCTGCACCTTGTCGTCACCAAATTCCTTGCACTTGCCATAGGCTTCCTGGATCTGTTTGAGAAGGGCCAGTTTTTCCTCGGAGCTCAGGCTGCGGGCGCTACTCATATACTCAGTGGCCAACTTGTCAATTTCAGCCTTGAGGTCTACAACAGAGACAGAGGCCCGGTCACGATGGCCCCTGGGTGGCTGGGTGAGACGCGCTTCTTCCTCTCGCTTCTTGGACCTTTTCCATGGACCATCATAACCTTCGAACTAAAATGCCCTGAAAGTTCACAGGTACTGTGCCCTTTACTCAAGCAATGCAACATATTGACAGCGTTTGCGTTATGGGCGCCTTCAGGTGCTGAAAGCCTTGCTGGCACAGGTGGAACTTAAATGACTGAAACGTAAGGAGGCGGGGGGCCTCTGCACACCACACTAACACAGAAGTGTATTTTGGTTGCTGTCCGAAGGTGCTGCTTTGCAGGGCTTGCTGCTTCTCAAGCCATGCGTTTGGTCTCACAGCCTCCTGATTCCTTGACTCAAAAACATTCCATAACAGCTCTGAGCGCATACGGACCCGGCTGGGTCATCTGCTGCTGCAGGCTTCCAGGTCTGTACAGCTGTGACTCATCATTTCAAACTAGGCCCTAGTTCATTTATGTAACAGTTCTTCTACCCTATTTTGCTCACCAACCTGTTTGTATCTTCGTCTTTTTTTTTTTTTTTTTCCTGTTTGTTCACCTTCGACTTTGCTCCAAACATTTTCATATTGGAAGGCTGGTGATGTCCCAAGACTCTGAGAGTGTAGATACTGCCTAATATTGCCTGATATTACTACCACTACTGCCTAATATTTGGTAAGGCTCATGGAACATGTCTATGAAAAGAGACCAAAGAATAACTGTAACATGGCGTGGCAGCAGACACGTGGCGGGACCTCTGTACACACTGTGTTGGTACCCCATTCCGTCTGAGGCCTTTGGAGGAAGCTGAAAATGCAGGTAGGTCGATAACCTCCAACTGCCCTTCTGTGCATGAACTCAAGAGTTGGAACCGAGTTACAAAGGATGCAAAGCTGGTTCTGAGCATTTGGCAGGCAGTTCTCAGGGGTCTGCATCCGGGATTTTAGAGGACGTTCACCTTTTCGTGAGTAAACTTACCCAGCGTAACTGAAACCACAGCTCTGGGTATTCTAACACCCGCTTGTCACATCTTTGAGCATGGCTACATACGGATGGAAGATAAGACCTACATATCCTTCAGCAGGTATGGGGGATGGCTCCAACGAGGGGGACATCTTTGACCTTGAAGAGACCAATCTGGCCACTGTAGAGTAGCCTCAGGCTCCAAGCGAATGCCTCAATGCAGCCAAGCTTGCTCAACATCCAAGGTAGGCCACAGATCATATCTACTGCTTCTGTAAGGCTGAAGAATACAGTGTAGAGATCCTGATGTTAATTGCTGCTTTTCCTTTTTTTCCTTTCACTCTTTCTTTCGGTTTAAGAACATGACTTGCGGTCTGCAGCCACAATGAATTTTTTTGATAGTAACATTATCAATCCACTGGAGCAGAAACATCCTAATCTTCTGATAGTCTTCCTATAGACATATTGAACATAGAGAACAGAAATGACTCTAGAGTTGCCTTCTTTCTGAATTCTTCTTGCAGATATAAAGAGCATGGCATCTTTGAATTCTTGAGGCATTGTCACAATCCTCTATTTACTACGAAAAGCTGATACAGAAATGCAGATCATCATTGCTCTCCTTTTAAGAATTTCAAGAGAGGGAAAGAGAGAAGCCACCGTTCTTCAGATCAGATCAGATCAGATGATATGGTGACACCAAAGAGAAAAAGAAATGATCATCCACACTCATTATACACACAAACCCCTCACTCTGTACATACCCTCTGTTCTTTGGTCCAGGTCCCTCATGAGCTGAAAGTTTCTCTGCAGTTCAAAGGGGAGGTTTTCGATACCTACGGAGAAGAGGCGGCACTGAGAATCACTGAACTTCAGAGGCCTAACAGGTGTTTTCAAAGTACACGTCCAAAAGGGATGCAGTTTTCCCTTCTTGGAACCACTGGATTTATCTGGAACACCACTCATCATTCCTTTCTCAGAGGAAGCTGTGTCTGTCTCCACAGCCCCCTCGGCACAGCTTTCCTACCTTTGCTCCTTCAAGGACTTTACTCTAAAAATCAACCCCTCCCTTTTCTTGATTTTCAATCTTTGCCTCCAGGCTCCTTGCCCTTAACCCAAATGCCCTCCTGGTATCCTCCGGCACTCCTCACACACATACTTCCACTCTCCAGAGAGTAGTCAGAATGTTCTCTTAGAAAATTAAATCTCATCAAGTCAACTCCTGCTTTAAAACCATCTGGTGACTTCCTAACACACAATTCCTGTTCCCAATTTTGCACTTTCTGCCCCATGCTTGTCTTACGCCAGCCTGAACTCATGTCAGTCTCCCTTTGTCTGATCTAACTGGACTGGCCTTCTCCGAGTGCCCCCGACTTGCCAGCGCTTGTCTTGCTACCCAGCTTTCCACTTCCTGCTTTCTCTGCCTGGAATGCACTGCTTGAGGTTCTTCATCCCACCTCCACCATACCACTTGGCCTACCAAACCCCTCTTCGTTCTTCAAAACTCAGCCCAACCCAGCTTTCTCCAGGCTCCAAGTGCCCTGGGTTATGCTCTCAAGTTATTTTATCTCTACCCTTCTTTGCATTTATCCAACTGCAATGAATAATTAATTGTGCAATCAGTTGTTTGGTATCTATCTCCCCAGCCTTCCAGAAGGGTTAGACGTGTCTCTCTTCTCTCATTTTGCTATGGCTTGCATACAGAGGGTCTTCCAAAAATACTTGAATAAATGTATCTATACTTAAGTCCCTCCACAGAAGAAAAATCTCTTCCCGTGACTCCATTTCAAACTTCTAAGATGCCTCCACTGCTTTAACCTATAACCTCAGGTCTGCTGCCACCAGTTTATGGATATTACTTTGAGTCACCAATGACTTACCAAATCAAATGATCTGTTATTAGTCCTATCTTAAAAATTTTGTCTGCAACAGATGGCACATCTTCTTGCTTTCAGTAACTTTCTTCTTCTTAGGATTCCAAATCTCATCATATACTTTCTGATAATCCCAATAGTGATGGTTTCTTTAGCCTGTCCCTTTAATGTTAATGTTTTCTTGAGATTATATTTCAGTCCTCTCGTTTTCTCACTTTACTTGTATCCCCTGAATGATCTCATTCACTCATACAATTACCGTGCCTATGCTTAAGTCTAAACTGAATTAAGTATATTGCTGATGGTATCCTATCTACCTTACTTCCCAAGCCTGAGATCAACGGGTCACCTTAGATTCTTCTTTCTCTCTCAACTACTCATTCAGTCAGTGCTGTCCTTTTTGCTTCTAAATATTTCTGTCACACTCTGAGACCTGACCTTATCATACCTCAGTTATCTTCCTTTATGAAATCACTTTACTTAAGAAAATCTGTTGGTTCTTCACTATCTAAAGTGGAAACCTCTTAGCTTGGCTTAAAAGACCTTGCAAGATCCAGCCCCAGCCTCTTTTTCTAGCCTCACTTCCGAATCTTCCACCGTAGAGTCCTATATATCAAACACGCTGACTTCACTTTACCCTGACCTGCCACAGAGCCATCATAATACCTTTGCTGATGCTTTTCCCAACCAGCAATTTCCTTTCTCTCTCCACACTGGCGAATAAACACTCAGTCCTCAAAACTCTATTCAAATATCACATCCAGAGTAAAGCTGTACCTACATCCCCAGGTAATCAGCCCTTCGTTCTCCAGTGCTACCAAGTCCATCCTTTTGATGTATTTCTATTATTTCACTTGTCACATTGCTTTGTAATCATTAGCAGAATCTGTTATGAGCACTTGAGGGCAGGGACTTTGTCTTATTCATTTTGTTAGCTGCCTTCATGTCTGACCCCGAGCAGGGCCTCAATAAATGAATGAATGAATGAACAACTCCCAACACTAAGGCAAATGTAAGCGCATCGGGGTGACAGACAGGCTTTGTGAAGGGGTGGGTTACACAAATGGCATAAACATACCACCAGATTTCTATTTGAAAGGAACTGGATCTTTACTCCAGGAAGAGAAACGTTCCAGTTTATCACCTGATAGTGGTCACTCATAGCCCCCTATCCCCAGGAGAGAACGCCTCGAAGAACTGAGCGGAGTAGCTGCGAGCAGGTCTTTGTCGCCGCTCCAAATGGCAGTGGGTGATATGCTAACACAATCGATTCTGACCGATTCGGGGTAAAAAAATATATATATATAATATATGTTACATATAATATATATTATATATATATATGAATATAAATATATACATATCCTGAGGCTGGAGACCCTAGAGTTGGGGTCGGCAAATATCTTCCCAGCCCTGCCCATTAGCCCTTCAAGAGCCATCCCCTCGGCCCTACCGCGCAGCCCCTCCCTCGTCTACACCCAAAAGCCAGGCCTCGACCCTGCTGCCCCGCCCCCTCTTTCTTCACACCGTTCAATACATTCTCTCACGGAACCCCTTCACAGTTGTGACTTTCTGACCACCGGGACTTCGGGGCCGTACAGCTCCTCCGTCTCGATCCCCCCCACCACCACTCTATGACCCCTGACCCCCTCCTCCAGCCTGCTCTTACTGTCCAGATAATGTTCCAAATACATCCCCGCAGCCATCTTGAAGCAAAACAAAGCAACTTCCGATCCGCCCCGGAAGTGACTGAAACGCAGCAGGGGCTGAAGCTATTATCCTTGGGTTGCAGCCTTTCCGCCCTTAAAAGAAGAGCTTCCGCCCTCACTAAATTATCATCTGGGACGCATCCGCCCGACGTAGAAACTTTCCCTTTTGCGTGGGTAGCCGGGGCCGCCCGTACTGAGGTGCCTAGAGGTAGCTTTAGCCCGCTTCCGCCCTTACTGAGTCCCCAGTACGCGACGGAGGCAGGCATGACGTCACTTCGGGTCGCCATTTTGCATTACCTATCAAACTTTTTTTCCCTCCAAAAAGGGGATGTGCATTAATGCGGGGGAGAAAACCCTTTTCTCTTTAGGATTGTATTCCATAAATATCCATTTTCAGGGACTGGAGACTTTTTTCCTTTTTGCCGGTTATGAATCTAGTGACCAGAGCAGGTCCCGGATGAATCGAGACTTTCTTCAAGGTAGCTAGCTTCTTAACGAAGTTGGGGAGGCATCGTTGATGTTGCGAGATTTGAACCCTTCGTCTTCCCACTCACACGAACATCAGCTCTCCTGGATTATTATTTTTTTGTATATAATCTCTACTTATAAATACAATTACACAATAAAGCTATAATTCTCCACACCTCGTCTGGGTGCCTGTCCTTTTACACTCGAATACATATACACACCCATAAAATAACATAGTACTTCTGGCCTTGCCCTCTCTTGCTTTTGTCTCTCTGCCCCCTCCACTCCTCTCCGTTCCCCCCTCTCCCCCCGTTTATTTATGATGTTAACACCATGATTTGGAAAGGATTGGAACACAGAGCTCTGTCACAACTGAGCCAGTTAGATGACAGCTGTCATCCTAGTCAGCTACAGTATAACAAGGACTCTTCATCAGGATGGAAAGCAGTCAAGTCCACGCCAGACTGCCACACTAGGAAACAACGCGAAGCCTATAACCTAATTGTGGCGTAAGATTGCGTTATGGAGATTGTCACCCCTAACTCACACATTCTTAATAATTATCAATGCCACAGAGCAGATTTGCAGCCACCTAATTTAGACCAAGCATGTGAAGAAGGGTAAGGCGAAACCTCTGGTTTACTACAGAGCAGGTTAGGATACGGCAGTTGGATCTAGTGGACAACATTCCGTCATGCCCCCGGATAAACAATTTAATCTCTGCGCCTATGTCCTTCTCTATAAAATAATAGTACCTATCTCACAGAGTTCCTGCTATGTAGGAGTGTGAGTGAATCCTTAAAAAGAGTAGATTCTGGTTCTAATTCTTGTGAAGATAGGACGGTCGGGGCATTTTCAGCGATTGGTGAGAGGGGGGAAAAAGCAATACTTAGGAAGCTAACATACACAGACATATTTTGTCAATGGGGATACATTCATTGGTGTCACACCACAGAATGAGAGATATTGGATGTCCACCCAACAAACTAGCCGAGCCGGAAACTTAAGTGGGCATGATTTCATTAACCATATAAATGCCACTAGGTGAGGAGCATAGTTCCCCAGCAGTACACAGAGGACAGCCACATTGTTGGATGTTGGAACTCTGCCACAACTTTTTCAGTGCTTAAAGGTTTTTAAGTCTCAAAATGGAACCTTGGAGGTGACCTAGTCCAATCCCTTCATTTAACAGCTGAAGCTTCTCGGTCAACACCGGTTGGCAGTAAAGCCAAGGCTAAAGTCCAGGTTTCTTGACCACATTCTGCTCAGCACTTCAACTGTCCTGCACTGTTACTCAATTCTGGTTATGGCTTCGAGCACTGCAAACCTATGTATATGGATAGGATGATGTATGTATGTACACACATTCCAGCTGGATTACAACAGAGCCGTGATGCTCAGGCAGGAGTGGAGGCCCTTTCAGGAGGGCACACTTCCATTTCTTAGATAGGGAGCTTAGTGGTTTTATTAACACATGACTGAAACGTTGCTGTCACAGACTTAGGCATCACAGTCCCCGCGACATTTTTTGTATGTAGAAACTTTCATAAACCAAGATCTCACTTGTATTAAAAGCTGTGCCCTTCTACACCTGGGGATGCACACAAAGAGCCTCATCACACACAGCATTCGTTCTCCACACATACACACTCTGGTGTAAATCCTTAGTACTGTCCTTCACATCTCCCCAGAGAGCTTCTTCCCATGCTTGCTCACACCAGTAGCTCCACTGCCTCTGATCCTTTTACACGAATTTATTTCTATACAAGGTTCTAAAAACACCCCTTGGTTTGTACATAAGTTTTTTTTTCTTCATTTTAAATTGCTTTATAACAACTGGATTCCTGATTTTTTTTCATTTTGTCTTTTCTCTGAAATCTGCCATGATTTAAAAACAAACAAAAAGGACAAAAGGAAATAAAAATGCCATTGGCCAGAAGACAGGGTGGAGAAAAACAAAAAGGACAAAAATAAACAAAACATCAAATATGAAAATTCTCAGAGATAATGCATTTATAAACACAGAAATGGTTACAACAAAGATGGCCGTGATGAGTGGGTATATATATATATTTATATATATATTTATATATAAATCCGTGTCCGGCAATTGACCGTGGCACCTAGGGAGCTAAGTCCAGTCCTTGTGTTTGCCCTGAACTCTCCCTTCTCTGCAACACCCTTTGTTTTGGGCTTTCATAAAGAACACAAAGCTCCCACAGCTCCTCCGGCTTTGGGGCTGGGAGACTGAGTACAGGGCCTTGGCTGGCAGAGAAGGGGAGAGGCTCCAAGGAAAACCACAACCCACGCTTCTAAGCCACCCTTGACCATTTGGGGGATCTCCGGCCCCTTGGGGACCACATCTCAGCCCTTGCCCCTTTACAGATAAAGGGGGTCTGACCCCCACCGAGATCTCCCTCTTCCAGCATTAGGTAGGAAGTGAAGTGAGACCACGAGGGACGACGGCTCCCGGGTATCGGGGCGTGTGAGAAACCGCTGTTCTTCCGCAGGCTAGACTAGAACAGGAGGCTGGTCACATTTACGGCTCCCTTCTCTCAGAGATCTGGGAGGACCAGCCTCTAGTCTTCCACCAGCCCCAACTTTTGAGGATTATGAGGGTAACGAGAGGGTAAGTGCCCACACTGGAAAAGTTTCTATGAGGTCATAGCAAATCCCTCCCTTGAGCACCAACCCCCAATTTTGAAAAGCTATGCTTGGAAGGGGAGGCCGCTGGATTACACTACCAGCTCATTATTCCTTTGCCAATCAGGAGGGCTGATATTCCTTTTGAAGAGGAGTTGAGAATAAGCATGGTATCCTGTGAAGGAAGGCCGTGCCTGAGGCCCAAGGAGATGGAGGCAAGGCCTGTCAAGGAAGGAGACTTTTCCCACCAAGAGAAGTTGGAGAAAGAAGGGACCAGAATTTCTTTCCCCTCTTCCCAGTGGGTGGCAGCACAGGTCTCTACGAGCTGGCCAGGTGCTCCACC